TACCAAATGCTATACCATCAAGTCACTTCAAAAAATATTTGAAAGACACTTAGGTACAGTACTTGATTAAGGTAGCTAGCAGAGTCGTTTGTCATTTTGGAGTTGACAGTCCAAATATGTGCACAGAAAGACTGGCTAATGTGTAAAATCTACCTTAAATACCTTTATGTATTAATGAACATTAAAGAAATCAATGATTTTTTTTAATGAGAAGACAATACATGCAGAACATGCAAGCGTTAATTGTCAGTGGGCTCCAAAATGGCGGACTAGTCAGCATAATAGCTATAAACTCAGGTAATACGTTATTCTATTATACTAATAAATGAAAAGCAAGAAATAAGAGTACGTTTTGTTTTCGGCAGCGTGTGTGGACGAATAAGCGGAATAGATAATTTCCAAGCGGACTTTTTTGAAGGAAGATATCACTTTCGAGGTAAATTGCAGGAAAAATACCTACTTTACACGAAATGTCACTTATATTTCAACGAAATAGTACCTATGTGTAAAAAGTGTATATCTAAACTCGTGTATTTACCAATTTTGTGAGCTATTTACCTCAACAGAGTGAAACTTCACATGCATTTCATACAACAACCACTGCAAAGTTTTAACTTCCATAATAAACATTGTTGCCGATAAGGTACTAGAACAGAAATTTATTTTTAAAAAAGCCATTTCGGCTTTCTCTTCAGGAGGAGAATTATAAAAGGAAACAGGGGATAATACAAAATAGCTTAGATACTCTTACATTTATTCAAATTAAAAAATAAATAAATTGCAGTACATCCATTAAAACTGATGAAATTCTGGAATGCATACCTTTCGTGTTTAGTACCGGAGCGTCTTCTTCAAGCAGACTTGACTGAGCGTTGGATGTAGGGTATATTGCACCTACTATACCAATACCCAGCATCTGAAACATAACCACATTACTAGGGGAGAGTGGCACACATTGATAAATAAAGATTAGCAATATTGCAAGAGGGACACATTTGCCAAAATACCTTTACGATGAAAATTGTTCTGTTATTCCTGAGGGCATCTTCAAATTATCCACAGAAGACTACGGTCGCGTAGTATTATTGCTCTTGAAGAATCTGCAACAGAATCACAATGACTCATTTCCAGCGTTATGCAGAATGCGCGAGATTATAAATGAAATGCAAATAAAGGGAAGTTTATTGTTTATTTGGACGGGTTTTCAGCCGAGGCTGCTTTTTTAAATCAATGATATAAAAAGTGTCCCGAACGTTCAACCTTCTTCAAAATCCAGCAGGCTGATTGAGGCTGAATTAAGTACACAAGTAAAAAAGTGCAAATAAAAGAGGGCATGCAAGGAAAACATGAGTTTAAGTAATACCTTACTTATGCATGCTTTGAGTTCTGTAAAGTAAATCACGTCACCATATCTCCACAGTGATGGAGGGTGCCACACAAGTAAAAAATTGCAATTAATAGGGCGCATCCAAGAAAAAATTAGTTTAAGTACTACCTCATCTATGAAAATCTTTTGGATTTGGTGGTAAGGACAGCAGTCGTTCATCCAATGCTGAGATAACGGTATCCCTCTGCATAGTGTGCTCCTCAAATCCCGTCACTTGTCCTGTAACATAAATCACCTCGGCACGTCCCCGGTCCCCCCACTGTGATGGGGGGTGCCGCCGTAAAATTTAGTAGGGTTCGTAAGATAAATACCGGAGTAGTATAGATCAAATTAAAACCTTCTGCAGGGGCACCTCTAAACAGCATTGTGCGAGTCACTTTGTAATTGGGTGTAAGCTTGTTGAGGGTCCAAAACAAGAGGGATAATAAATAAATTATACAATTTCTTGCAGTTAAATCTGCAAACCGTTTAGTTGGTAATAATGCTTTTTTCGAAATTATGTAAAAAAAAAGTGCAAGTAAAAGGGCACATGCAAGAAAGATTAGTTCAAGTTAATATCTTCGATTAACCAGTGGACCAAACTTAGCGATTCTGGAGCCTCTATTGATATCATTTATTTAGATTTCAGTAAGGCGTTCGACAGGGTCTCTCACGAATTATTGTTACATAAGTTGGTGAGTTTTAGAATTAATGGAAATGTCTTACAGTGGATTAAAGCTTTCCTGTCTGATCGTTCATTTGTAGTCAAAGTCGGTAACGTTGTATCAAACAGAACTGAGGTCGTTAGTGGTATCCCTCAAGGCTCTGTCCTTGGACCTTTTTTTTATCTTGTATACGTCGGACTTACTTTTGAACTTGAAATGCAGCCATGTGGCCTATGCTGACGATATCAAAATATTTGGTAACTCCTTGGAAGCGGAAATAAAATCCAAGTCGCCTTAATGCTGTAGTTGACTGGTGCAACTCGTGGGACTTGCCTTTGAACGGTGGAAAATGTGTGGTGCTGCGAATAGGACATCATAATCCCAAATTTTCTTACTGCTTGGATAAATATACTGATCAATGAAGTTCAATGCCAAAACGATTTAGGAGTCACAATAAATAATAAATTAACTTGGGACGAGCATGCGCTAAAGTTTTTAAAAAGTCTTTTGCCACGTTTTATGTTGAGGAAAGTATTTCTTATACCGTCGCCAGAACTATGTGCAAAGCTGTTTGTGACGTATATTAGACCCCATTTGGAGTATGCTGTCTCAGTTTGGAGACCATATTTGGCCAAAGATATTAAGTTGTTAGAGCGAGTTATGCACGCAGTTTCCCGATGGCCTAAACATTTTAACTTAATTTCGTACAGTGACAGATTAAGTATACTGAAGTTGCCTGAACAATGTCTCAGACAAGATAGAGCGGACTTGATTCAGATTTACCGACTAACTCACGACCTATTTCCCGCTAACAAATTAGACTTCCTGAAATTTCGTGAAGATACCCGCTTACGCGGACACTAGATTGCAAAAGGAACCCTTCAGAACTACGCAAAGGCAAAAATTTTTAACTAACCGCATGTTCGACCAGTGGAATGCACTAGACGAACACATCGTAAATTCAATAAATGTGTACCAATTTAAGAATCGTCTTGATAACAAGAATTTAGAAAAGATTAATATTGTTAACTAATTGTACGTTCGTAACCGATAGAAATTAGCTTAAACAAAATAGCATAAATAGGCTTGCCTCATGCTATTATCATCTAAATATAATAATAATAATAATAATAATAAAAATAATCTCACAAGAAACACCGACCATAATAATAATAATAAATACTTTATCTATGCAAATCCATCAAAGGCGGAGATAGCGGAATCCCTCTGTATAGTGTGCTTCTCAAATTCTGTAACGGCGTTTTTTTTCAAAGTGCACCAGTCGTCCATCAAAGGCTAAGCAATCGATACAGGCGTTGCGTAGGGTTCTTCTTGAAATTCTGTAACATAAATCATTAAAGAATCGGAAATATCCATGATGTGATGACCTTAAAATGGGGTTGACGTAGAAAAGTGTCGTTAAATTAAACACAAAACCTTCACAATACTAATTTAAATATAAATTAGTAAGGGAAAGGTTTTGTGTTAAATTTAACGACTCTATATATTATACATCATTAATACAGGGTCGCTATTAAAGATGGAACCAAAGGCCCTCACGCTCAAACCGAGCTGGACGAAGGTTTAAAGAGAAGTTGATAAATCCTGTGAAGCTGAAGAAAGACTTGATGAGCGACGCCAAACAAACAACAAACTGGGTATACTCTTTGGTAAAGCTTAAGAGAATAGGAGCACATTTGAAGAGACAGTGGGAAAAGTTTGAGAAGAACTTTATAATTTCGGAGGAAAAAAGAAAGGATTACTTGCGGAAACTTAAAGAGGAATGTGAAACGCACTTTGAAATTTACACTCTTGCTCTTGCGCCGTATTATGCAAAATCAAGCAACAGAAGAACATTAAATTAGATAACAAATAAAACATTTCATTATCTAGAAAAAACGCACTCAGTTCTTCCCATATTAAACTATTTCGCAAATCTCATTTTTAAGTACAAGTAACCCAGTTACTAGCATTTAACATACACTTTAGTCTATAAAACATTATATTTCGTTATATAATTCATGGACAATTTTAATTTAGTAGAGCTTCTGACGTTGCTACACGAAAAAGAGTTACGAGATATCAATTTTTACACACCACCGAATGATAACGTTAACTAATAACAAAACACACAGATGAGCCTAAAAATATAAAGGTAAAATTCAATATGGGCGCCATATTACATCAAGGATATCCCATGAAATTTCACCATAGTGATAGTGCATTGAGAAAGCGGCTCTCGTTTCTATTATACTTTTTTAACAGCACAGAAACAATACGTTATTGTACAATTACTTGTAATTAAATTAAATTCAAGGTTGCTAGTGAAAAACAAATACAAAAAGCTCAGCTATATATTACAGATATACGTAAAGAAGTATATCTGAGCAATAGTAAAACTGTTACATCAACTTCCGTTAATTATCCGTCTGCACTAGTGTGAAAATTCTCATGTTAAAAAACGTGTAAGTAGGTACCAAATGCCACGCCATCAACGTCGCTTTCAAAAATATTTGAAGTTATGTTATTATACTAACACAAGGAAAGGAAAAAATTCGAGTGCGTTTTGTTTTCAGCAGCGTTTGTGGACAAAGAAATAGATCATTTTCAAGTTAACTTCTTTGAACGAAGACATCACTTTAGTGGTCAATGCAAGAAACGTAATTTACCACAAGTAAATTATATTTCAATGAAATGGTATGTATAAGAAAAAATTAGCCTAAGTACCTCAAGGATGCAAATTTTGTTCATTAGGATTATACTTCACAAAAAATGGGAGTCTTCTATCAAAAGCAGAGATAACGGTAGCCGGATAGCCCTATGTGTAGTATGCTCCTCAAAATTCAGTAACATGCCCCAAAATTAAAAACTACCTCAAAGATCCAAATTTTCTCCAACCGGTCATAAGGACGAATCTTTTTCAAAACGTAGTAGTCGTTCATCAAAGCAGTCTACTCGCTGCGTATGATGCTCCACGAAATTCTGTAATATATCACCCCGGCACGTCCTAGCCGTGATGGATGGTGCCGTAAAATTAAAAAAAATGCATTTAAAAGGAAGAAATAACTACCCCAACTATGCATTTCTTTCCATTTGGTCTTGGGGGCGTTTTTTAAATGTAGCAGTCCTCCATCAAAGGGTAAGCAAGCGTAAGGTGCTCCTCGTAATTCTGTAACATAAATCATGCTGACCCGTCTCCATCGCGATGGAAGGTGCCACAAAATTTAAAAAAAGTGCAATTAAAAGGGCACATGAAAAATTTTGGCTTAACTATCTCAAAGATGCGCGTTTTATCCATTTGGTCGTGTGAGAATCATTTCCAAATTACAGTAGTCGTCCATGGAATTCTGAGAGCCCGGTGCATCCTCTGCGTAGTGTACTTCTTGAAATTCTGTAACATAGTCACGTCCACAAGTGGGTAAATTTACTAACTAGAGACATAATGAGAAGTAGGTATATGAAGGGAAGAGGGTTCTTTATTATAATCTTTTTAATTTTTTATTTGCGCGGGATTTTTTTAAACCCAATTAGAATCTTATATTCTTATACAAAATTCAGCATTCATCGAAGGTAGGTCAATTGCGTGAAATACTCCGCGTGGTATACACTTTGGCACTCGGTAACATAAATCAGGTCGGCACGACTCCATCGTGATAGACGGTGCTGCAAAATTTAAAAAAAGCAATTAAAAGAGCGCGTTACATGAAAAAATGACATAAAAGCTGCAGGTTTTTTTTTTCATTTGGTGGTAGGTATTTTCAAATAACAGCTGCCCGTCACAGACTAGAAGGGCGGTGTACCAGTTGCGTACGGTGCTCCTCAAAATAGCAGTCGTTCATCAAAGGCTATCCCTCTGCATAGTGTGCTCCTCAAATCCTGTAACTCGTCCTGTAACATAAATAATATAATGGGGAGTGCTGTAAGATTTAATAGGGTGCAATTAAAAGGGTCCATAACAAGAAGATATTAGTTTAACTACCGCAACGAATCAAAAATTTTCCATTTGATAGTGGGCAGTAGTCCATAGAATGCTGACCACCCTCTGTATAGTGTACTCCTCGAAATTCTGTAACATAGTCAGTACGCATATTTGGGAAAGAGATACAATAAAAGTATATGAAGGGAAGAGGTTTCTTTAATTAAATACTCGTAATTATAATCTTTTTAATTTTTTATTTGCGAGGGCTTTCAGCTTAGGCCGGTTCTTTAAACCCAATTAGTTTTGTACAAAGAGCAAGTGTGCATGGTATCCTGACGGAGTCATCTTATTCCTTATTCAAAATTCAGCAATCATCCAAAGTGTGCTAATTGAGTGAACTACTGCGCGTGGTATACACTTCGGCACTCTGTAACATAAATCATGTCGGTACATCCTCCACCATGATGGAGATCGGAGGGTACCACAAAGTTTAAAAAAATTGCAATTAAAAGAGCACACGACATGATGAAATTAGGTTAACCACCCTAACGATGCATTTCTTTCCATTTGTCCTTGGAGGCGTTGTTGTTCAACATGTAGCAGTCGTCCATTAAAGGCTAATCGAGCGGTATTCTCGCTGCGTAGGGCGCTCCTCGAAATTCTGTAACATAAATCACGCCCGCACGTCTCTATCGTGATGGAGGGTGGCGCAAAATTAATAAAAAGTACAATCAAAAGGACGCATGGCAAGAAAAAATTCTCTGCCGGACAGCCAGCCAGCCATAACGAATATAATATGAGGTAGTTACGTTAATTTTTAGCGCATTCTTGAAAAAAAATACGTTCAAAATTAACCTCAACGATGCACATTTTCTCTAACCGTTCATGTAGTACTTGCACCTAGGGGAATCTTTTCCAAATGTAGTAGTGGTCCAACAAAGGGTGAGTTTAGCGGCATTCCCGCTGCGTATGGTACTCCTCGAAATTCTGTAACATAAATCACCCCGGCACGTCCCCAGCGTGATGGATTAAGAACAGTGGTAGGTATCTAAGAATGTATTGTAAAAGAAAATTAACTCGACTACCTCATAGACGCAATTTTTTTCATTTGGTGGTCGGTGCATATTTTTCAAAAATAGCAGTCATCCATCAAAGACTAAGGGAGCTCTATATTCGCTGCGTAGTGTGCTCCTCAAAATCCTGTAACATAAATCACATTGGCACGTCCCCACCGTGATGGAGGGTGCCGCAAAAATTAACAAAGTACGATTAAAAGGGCACATGACAATCAAAAATGAGCTTAACTACCTCAAAGATGTAATTTTTGTCCCTTTGGTCGTGGGGCACTCATTTACAAAATATAGCAGTCGTCCATAGAATGACGAGAGATCGGGTGCGCCTCCTGCGTGGTGTACCTAGTTCTCGAAATTCTGTAACATAGTCAGACCACTTCCCAACATGATTGAAGAGTGCGTATATTTACAAAATGGACACGCTGAAGAGTATATGAAGGGAATAGGGTTCTTTAATTAAATTATTATAAGCTTTTTAATTTTTTATTTGGGCGGGCTGTCAGCTGATGCTGTTTTTTAAACCCAATTATTTTAAAACAAAGGAACAGTGTCCATTAAATGGCATTTTCACGGATATTACCCTCAGCAATCATCGCGCGCGTAGTATACACTTCGGCACTCTGTAACATAAATCACGTCGGCAGTCTCCCTCGTGACGGAGGATGTCGCACAAATGCAATTAAAAGATTGCGTGACAAGAAAACCTACCTCACAGATGCAAATTTTTTTAATTTGGTGCTAGGGGCCTATTTTTCAGAAATAATAGCCGTCCATCAAAGACTAAAAGAGGGGTATACCAGCTGCGTAGTGTCCCTCAAAATTCCTGTAACATAAATCAAGCCGACACGTCTTCATCGTGATAGCCAGTGCAGTAAAATTTAAAAAAAGTGCAATTTTTTTCATAGGTAGTTGTGGAGGCATCTTCTTCAAAATATAGCAGTCGTCCATCAAAGGCGGAGATGGCTTCTGCGTACTGTATTCCCCCAAACTCTGTAACATAATCATGTCCACTCATCTCCACCGTAAAAAAGAGCACGTATAGAAATAAAATTAATGGTAACTCAATTATATTTATTTACATAACAATCAGGAAAATGATACATTACTGGCGAGGAAATATTGAAGGGGCCGGGTACTTTAATTTCCGAGTTCGGGGCGAATTGAAGGAAAAATACTTTACACGCAATTTACCACAAGTAAATTATATTTCAATGAAATGGTATGTCCAAAAAGTGTATACACAGTACTATTACCTGTTTATTAATTTACTCGCGCATTTACCGATGTTGTGTGAAAGATTTCCTCCACTAAAATTTATTTCAACAGAACGAAACTTCACATACGTCGTACAACAACAAAAGGAAAATGGGAAAGCGGTTGCAATACAGCCATTAAGACGGATGAAATTCTGCAATGCATACCTTTACCTTTATTAGAACAACGACTGAACATTGGGTGTAGGTACTCAGCATCTGAAACATATTCACATTAGTATGGGAGAGTGGCGCACAGTGATAAATAATGCGTAGGAATAATTCAAGAGGGTCACATTAGCTAAAATACCTTTACGATGAAAATTGTTCTCTTTAAAACTGGGGACATCTTCAAATCATCCACAGAAGACTACGGTCTCGTAGTAGTGCCGTTGAACATTCTGAAACATAATCACAATAACTCATCTCCAGCGTGAGTGCGCTGGAATATAAATGAAATAGGTACAAATAAAAGGGTAGGTAGGGTATATAAAGAAGAGCCTTTAATTTATTTTAATTTGTCTTTATTTGGACGAGGTTTTCAGGTAACCTCCAACCAATTAGATATAACAAGTGTCCCAAACGTGGACATGGGATAGCCATCTTCTTCCAAATTCCAACAAACATTCTAGCTAAGCTGATTGAGCGAATAGCGTTGAGTACTCCTGGAAATTCTGTAAAGTAAACCACGTCGGCACATATACGAAAAAATTAGCTTAACTACCTCAAAGATGAAACTGGTGTCCATTTTGGAAGAGGTATGCTTTTCAAAAAATGGTAGTCGTTCATCAAAAGCAGATGAGGTAGCGGTATCCCTAAGCGTAGGATGCTCCTCAAAATTCTGTAGCGTAGAGCATGTCGGCTCGTCTCCATGGTGATGGAGGGTACCCCAAAATTTAACAAAGTGCAATTAAATGGGCGCGTGGTAAGAAGAAATTAGTTTACTACCTCAACTATGCATATTGTCCCCAATTGGTCGTGCGGACATCATTTCCAAAATATAGCAGTTGTGGATAGAACCCTGAGAAAGCGGTGCACCCTCTATGTAGTGTACTCCTCCAAATTCTGTAGGTAACACAGTCACGTCCACTCATTCCCACCGTGAGGGAGAGTATATTTACAAAAAAAAAACACAAAGAAAAACCCAATTAGTTTTATACAAACGAAAAGTGCCCATTAAGTCATCGCGCGCGTAGTACCTACACTCTTCGGCACTCTGTAACATAAATCACGTGGGCAGTTTCCATCGTGATGGAGGATGCCACAAAAATGCAATTAATAGAGTGCGTGACCAGAAAAAATTAGCTTAATTACCTCAAAGATGCAAATTTTTTTTATTTGGTGCTCTGGGCCTATTTTCCAAAAATAATAGCCGTCCATCAAAGACTAAAAGAGCGGTAGATCAGCTGCGTGGAGTGCTCTTCCAGATTCTGTAACATAAATCATGCAGACGTCTCCATCGTGATATACGATGCAAAAAAATTTAAAAAAAATGCAATTTAAGAGCGCGCATCGCAAGGAAAAAATAACCTAACTACCTCATTGGCGCAAATTTATTTTCATTTGGATGGTGTCTTTTTCAAAATATAACAGTCGTCCATCAAACGTTGAGATGACGCCCTTCTGTATCCCTCAAAATTCGAGTAATCTTCAAAATCTAGTAATCAAAATCATTCAAAGTAGGTTGTTTGAGTGAAATAAATACTGCGTGTACAATTGTACATACTGTACGTACTATTTGACATTCTGTAACATAATCACGTTGACATTTCTTCATCATGATGGCATGACGCAAAAATTAAAAGCAGTGCAATGAAATGCCTTACCTTAACAATGTAATTTTTCTCCGTTTAGTCCTGAGAACATTTGCAAGATCTAAATCGTCCGCAGTAGGTTGGGCGTGTGGTTTTTCGTCTTGTTTATCCGAACTCCTGTAACATAATTTACATAGGTAATTGATTTTCAGATTTAGTGCCACGTTATATATTTGGTGATAATTGAATGGGAAACTAATGTGAATTTATTATTCCAAAGTGGTATATAACGGTAATCCAATGAGCTTGATCCAGTTAAAATAATCTCAGTTTTAGACTACATTCTGTTTTACCGAAGTGCGAATTCTCCGTTCGATATTTTAAGTGGAGTGTGCTCTAGTTTTTTTGTCATATTTTCAAATGTACATTGAATTTGTAATATATATAATATAATTTACACTATACGCTTAGACTGTTTAGCAAATGATCAGTTTCACAAAAATGAATTACCTTTTGTAGTAGCTCTACGACCACGATATAGGTACCTATGACTAGATAAAAAATATGCTTTATACCTTTTCATACAGAGTTCTCAGGAATTTGTCAAAGTTCTCGGTTTTGAAAATGCAAAGCTAATCTTTTTTCATCGAAGTCTTTTCGGTTTGTATAGTTCAGTCTTATATACCAATCTAAAAAGAGCGGTAGAAAGTTGTAACTGAACATAGAAATGAAGTAGCCAGCCTGCAAAAAACACGATAAACTTGGATAGCGCCGAATGGCAGTGACTATAGGTATCAATAAGTTTCAAGAGATCTTCTCAGTATGTATCGATAATTAGCGTGAATCATCCTTCAAAGGACGAACGTAATTATCGTTCTTAAAATTAAATTTGATCGGGGGAACTATACGAATTGGGGAAACAGTATGGCATTTTGCATTCGGACTAATTGGAAAACGGCGGGGACACATACAAAGGCGTTCGGGTCGCAAACATGTGCGAACCAAGCGCAAACATTCAATAGAAAAAACGTTAAATTTGAAAAATGAGGGGACAATATGGAATTTGGTTTTGGAAAAAATTCAATTTGTGCTGTATATAAATTGGGTTATGGCTTTGGAGGCGTTAAATTATCGCTAAAAATGAAAGCCAATCGTATATATGTTTAACAATAGTTATTGCAAATTCATATTTAACCAAAATTCTTGTTACTTCTTTAGCACAATTACTGAAGAGCTTCTTTTTATCACTGAGCCATGATTCAATAAGAATCGTTTTACAAAAAAGTAGCCGAACTACTCTTCTTAAATTAATCTAATTGTTTTACTGATTTTATCGAAGTTTTGTTATTGCTACAGTAGTACAACCATAGTACAATTTGAATGTTTGTATATCGGATCCGTGAAGTTGGAGTGTCGACTTGAAAGGAATTAAGTCCCATGTATCTCATAATTTTGTGCTCATTTTGTGCTAATTTGTGCTGCTAATTTAAAATTTTGTTCTCATCAGCTTAATGAGTAATTCAACTTTTTCTGATGACACTCCAACTTCACGCTGGAGTGTCAACATTGATATTTTCAAAATTTTCTTGTACTATAATTTTGTGCTCATTTTGTGCTAATTTGTGCTTCTAATTTAAAATTTTGTGCTCATCAGGTTAATGAGTAATTCAACTTTCTCTGACGACACTCCAACTTCACGCTTGAGTGTCAACATCGATATTTTCAAAATTTTTTTTACTATAATTTTGTGCTCATTTTGTGCTAATTTGTACTGCTAATTAGCAGTCCATGTACTGTATTGTCTAAGTTGGAAACCCATAATATACACCGAAAGAATTGTACTTAAAGATATTCATAGAAAAAGAATATGATGGTGTAAAGATAGAAAGCTAATATTCTCCAAAAGGTTTCGCAAATACTTGCAGTTAGTAATGAACAATTACGTACATCTCCAGGTGTAAATGTTCGAAGTAGGTTATGTAATGTCGTCTCACGTGACGTTGCCAATGTCAATTTCGCTAAGATGGCGGGTCCAGGTAAATTGTTGTTCTATGGGTAAAATTGCGATGTCATCCACGTTCTGCGTAAGGAATATCCAGGTAGAGAATAACGTAAAAGTAATCCAGAAGAGAAAATGATAAGAAGTTAAGAGAGAAGTTTGAGCGAACCTTGAGGGAAGATAAAACCCTAAAAAACGTATTAAGAAAAATGCTGAAGTACATACCTCACACTAATTACTTGCAAAGCGTATTCAATGGAGCACAGCCACAGCACATCAGAAATAGAGAAAAAACACTCAATAGAAATATGTTCACAGCCAAAACAGATTGACACAAAGTCAAGTAAAAAGTAATGGCGTATCGAGAAAAATTTGCACGCAATTAACCCAGATCCAGATCGTCTCTGAAAGGAAGAAGTATAGGACATGCGTATGTAGAAAAAAAGAAGATCACGACCTCTAGTGGCGAACCAAAGAACTATGGTAATAACAAATATACTATAGAAATGACTGGCATCTAAACTAAACGGGTTTACAGAGGGAATACCTAGATGGGGTGAGAAATATAAAGAGAGGTGCAACTCGATTAATTTAGATGAGGCTTATTGCAAGATGCTTCAGTACATCGGCAATTTGGTAAAGAATAATCGATTTCCGCAGATGTAGCAGCGTTTATTTATTTATTTACTATTCCTCTCTTGTTCTGGGCCCTCAACAGGCTTACGCCCAATTACAGAGTGACCCGCATAGTGCTTTTTAGAGGTGCCTCTGCAGAGAAGGTATTAAGTTGTTTTATACTACTCCGGTATTTACCTTACGAATTAGGAAAACTGCAGAAAAACGTCATTCAGAGTAGCCGGCAGAATGCTCGCAACTGGTCTAAGGTATCTGCCACAGATGAAAAATTCACCTCAATCCAGGTTCGAACACCCGACCTCCGGAATTATAGTCCAACGCTGTTTCATTGGTTTTCAATCGGTTTGTGTTGTTGGGTGGCCTTTAAGCATCAGAGTCGCACGTCTAACACACTCACACCCCTCTCACTGTGGACTGTGGGCACGGGAAGCTTCGGGAATATGAATCGCAATTTTACATATAGTTGCGCCTCTTTGCTATTTCTCACTCAACAATCAACGAGTAAAATTCGAAGTATATAAGGAATATAAATTTGGAATATCAATTGGTAAGAAAAGAACGCTACATACTCCTTTCCTTGTTTTATTCCTGGTTGCCGTATTTACCGCTCATCAACAAACAATCAGATATTTAAATTTGTGGTCTCTACGCTTCATGCTTCTTGCTAAACAAAACCAAAACTGGTGAATACTCAAAATGTTTCCTCCAAAATTTACCGCCCCTAGAATTTGCCGCTCTAGGCGCGCAACTAGTCCGCCTTGTGGGAAATACACCCCTGGATGTAGCTCAAGGGAGAGTAATAAAAAAAAGAGAGCGAAGCCGCAAAAGGCACCTTACTGTGGACATAAAAGTTAAAAGTAAAGAGGTTTGGCCTAAGGCGAGTAAATTGCGAGCATTTTTCATGCATTATTCGGGACTTCCATAGTCCATTGTTATGTGACCTATGTTTTTCGTTATTAGAAGCATCTATAATTAAAAATAAGGAAGTTAGTATTGGGCGGTTTGCGCATGCGCATATCTAATATGGGACGTTTGCCTTTACTAGAATGTGGTTAAATTTTCCAAAAAATATCTATAAAAAAAGGATGCGGGCATTGTGCAGTCTGCGCATGCGCACACCTGATTTTTACCATATGCAATATGTTTGCCTTTACTATAAAGGTGGTAAAAATTTCAGCAAAATATATTAATAAATAAGAAAATTGGTATTGCGAATGCGCACATTTATCGTCATGAGGTAACAGAGCTACCGAATTCAAGAAGAACGAACTAAATATATTGAAAACTGTAGGAGCAGTGGCGCCCTCGCATGGACCGACGGAGAAAGTGGTCATAATTGCGCCTTCCAACATAAGTTTAAAAATGCGCTAAAATCTAGGTTCTACCATTAAAAAAATAGAAAACATTTAAGAATAGTAAATCTATTAAAATAAAACAGATTGCAAGCTGTGCAAACAGATACCGCATTCACAGGCTTCATTCCGTTCTTCAGCCTGATAATTGTCATTACGACTAATTATACACGAAAATTGGGTAACCATTTTATCACAAAATTCCATTATAATTCGGATTAATGTTATAAGTTCATAAACACAAATTCAGCCCTATTTCTTTTGTACGATTTGTTTGTTTCTAATTCTTTTAGTAACTGCGTTGTAACTCAAAGTTGATTTTTGAGCTTTCCTAAAATGTATAATACATCATACCTACTTATTTTCAAGAATAAGCTTTTTACAATAAATTTTGCTTATTAATACATCTTGCCTGAAAGATAATAACAAAAGTTTTTTTGTGGAAAGAGTAGCTAATTAGCTAACACTCCGCCCACTATAAAATAAAGACAATAATAAATAAATAAAAAGTTGGTTATTAAAAGGTCTAGAAAGAAACGACTGACGACATTGGTTATCTACATTAAAAACTGCTTGAATAATGCTAAAGCCATTTCGTTCTAGCTTCAACATTTTTCACTTTTTCTCTCTAGTGAAAAAACAAAGACGGCAGCTTATTTCCGGCAAAGGTAATGGAATAAGCATAAAAAATAAGGACACGAGTACTAAAACCGTTTTCGTTTATCTGCGCTAATAAGAAAATTACCCATTTAATCCCATCGAAATTGGACCACAGGCAGGAAGAAAGAAAGAAAAATTTTATTATTTAGAAGTTGCTTAAAATGATCTAAAATGTCGACATTTGATGAAATTTTTTCCAAAAAAACGGCGATGGCAATATCCAACTAACTGACACTACAGTGAGTATCTTCAGAAAAATTTGAATTACTCATTAACCTGATGAGCACAAAATTTTAAATTAGCAGCACAAATGAGCACAAAATTATAGTAAAAGAAAATTTTGAAAATATCGATGTTGACACTCAAGCGTGAAGTTGGAGTGTCATCAGAGAAAGTTGAATTACTCATTAACCTGATGAGCACAAAATTTTAAATTAGCAGCACAAATTAGCACAAAATGAGCACAAAATTATAGCAAAAGAAAATTTTGAAAATATCGATGTTGACACTCAAGCGTGAAGTTGTAGTGT